TCGGTACTCACTTCCAAACTGTTCCTCAAGGCGTATACACCTTCAACTTAGAATGTACCAAAACATCTAAATTTAAATCGATTTAGAGTTATGGTTTCCTTTTGAAACAACTTCAATCTTTTTTTGCATTTTGGTGAAAATCTTTAGAATTGATGGCACTTCTAAACTATTTATTCACATTCCCCAAAAGGATAACACGTACTGTTTTGGATCGAAGTATACAGCTTCTAACCCAAATACAAGTTTTTGTTAATGAAAAGTCACCCCACATCTGGCAGCAACATGTGTCAACCTATTTTCGAACTTCACGTAGTAAGACTTTCAAGTCTGAACACATTTTTAGAACTAAAACGATTTCTTAAGTCATACACGTATACAAAACAAGTTTTTTTCTTTGAGAGCAAAGTTCAGTTACTGTTTGAAAATTGAAAAGAGAAGAAATCCCTCTCCCCTCCTTCTCCCCATCCTTTCTCCCCTCTTTTCTTCCACCCTCCCCCAACATTTTTGTCTTGAGAACTCGGCTGACTCATCGGATATTGGAGATCATTGGGTTTTTTCGGGGGGGGGGGGGGTGTTGTTGGTGTCTCCGCTTGGGGCTCCACCGTCCCACACAAGAGAACCGGGTTCAATTCTCGAGTGGGGAATTTTTATCAGGAATCTCTTTTTCTATGCTGGGAGGTTGCAGCCCGCACTGTTCGGGTTGACCAAGAACGGCAGGGTCGAAACCCGCCTCTTAAATGATCTACGTATCAACGAGGGTGTAAAAACACCTACATTTAAAAAAATGAAATGAATGTCGAAGTACAATCATTGAAAATGAGGGGGAACAGAGTTCATAGGGGGCTCTCGTGGCTTAGAGGTTAAGGTGTTGGCCTCTCATTCAAAGGTCCCGGGTTTGAATTCGGGTAGCGGTCGAAAAATTTTCTTCTCTAGAATTGTCTCCTTTCACCTTCTTTCCTGCACTCGAGCAATGTTCTGTTGTCTGCTTTCATTTCCAATTTCTGCCCCCACCCCCTCACCTCCTTTGCCCCCTCCTCTGGGCTCCTGACTCTTTCTGCAGCCTTTCTACTGCTACTCCTTGGCTCCTCCTTAATTCTGTCTTTCTGCCACACCCCTGATCTTCTGGTAGGTAAGATTTACACCAAGCCTTCTCGGACAAGGGCGAAAAATCTCGGAGGGCCCGTCTGCAAGTTGCGCACGTTAAAGATCCCTTGGTGGTCTAAAATCGATAAGAGTAGGCTTCGGCCGCCACCCGGGCAAAATTCAAAATTTCCTACCAACTGAACATATTAGGTGTGTCCCGCCTGCTCATATGACCTTATGCAGTTGCGAGCACCGTAAAACACTTTACACACAAAAAAGCGTTCATAGAGGTTTACAGAAAGTGGAAATATTATACCAAAGCATAGAGTATGATAATAATATTATGCTTGTAGAGTCGACAAAGAGGCTTTGTGAACAGTCGTGCAAATCTGCGCATTTCTACGTGATAGTAGCATAGCAGAAACATTATTATAAGTCTCTTTCAACTACATATTAAATCATTCGGTAGTAAAACGTGACTCCATCAGGGTAAGTAGAGATTAGGTAATTCTTTGCGAGGCATGAAACGACGTCGTGTTCTGTACCGTTTCTTTATCCTCAATAGACCTAACCTACTGTTGTAGCTGTGTGAGGAAGATGGTGACTCACCAAAAAATACCTCCTGCCTAAGCCTTACCTCTTAGTATACGGAAAGCTATCTCATATTTGTACACAACCATTTCTATCATCAAACTTCTCAGCATCACAAAACGTTCCTACCCTTCTACCCTTGTTTTTTAACATATCATTTATGTACCCCAAATCAACACGTATAAGAAATGAATGACTCGAGCAATAAATGCACAATTTTGTCATTGACAACAAGGACTGACTTGGGTTTGGTAAAAGTTTGTTACAACTGCAAAAAATCAAGCTATACCATGAACCAGCTGAACTAGACCGTCGTGCATAAAGAGTGAATAGATGTCTAGTCAATTGGAATTTTAAAAAGTTTTAAAGTTTTTAACCTCCCCTTTGGCAGGGTTCTTCGACCCAACACAGGCCGAAAATGACACTTCATTTCAAAAGATAGACGGACTTTAACAGTTGAAGGTTTTTTTCCATTTGGGAATCGAAGTCATGCAACCCATCAATCCCATAAGATAGACAGACATACAAGTAAAACGTTTTTTCCACCCGAGAAACAAACTCTTCCCTTCTGAATGCAACTTAGAAAAACTTAACCCTACAGCATAGACGCCTGTAGGATTGATCTGATCTGATCTGATTTGATCTGATCTGATGATACAAATTGTAACTTCGATGTACCCTATAAGAGGCCTTAATGTCAACGGGCCCAGGAAGAGAGTCGTAGAACAGCTGACCCAGTAAAGGAAGAAAATAATCAGTAACTCTAGGATTATTCTATTCTAAAATTTAAGCTACAGCTCTTTCAAAATTAGCCGTTTACGTGGGGATGACTCACTCCCAAACTTCCCACTTTTTAATGACATTTTACGCCTTAAATATAAATTGGGAGTGAAATGATGCACTGATAATAATAATATAATTTTACTGCTCTATTCTCTTCCCTTGGCACGCAGTATTGGTTGGGGGGGGGGGGGGGGTACACCAAAATAGTTCTGATTCTGCTCAAAATTATGCATTTTGAGTAGTAGACCATTTTAGCCTTTTCAGCCTCTCTTACAACTGTTTCATAGCCTTATAACCCTGTAAAGCCTTATTGCTTCCCATACCGGGCACGTTTGTCGCCACCATTTCCTCATAAATTCCATTTTTCTTTTTCTTTTTCGCCCATTTTCTCAAAAAGCGCTTTTTCTATGTACTTTTTTAAATAACCCCACCATTTTTCATCGAATCTTCAAAAAAGTTTCATAGAATAAAAAGAAGATGTAATACTAAATATTTCTGTGTTCATTTGTTGATATATGTAACAGTTTTTTGTTGGTGATGTATGGAGTGTGGATTTTCACGTATTTTTTAAAACTTGAATACGTTTAAGAAAAACTTAACAAACACTTTTGTAGATCTAATGGGTTTTTTTAAACCTGCATCCAAAAAAACAAAAACAAATCTTATTCTAATAAAAAATAAGTGCCGTGTTCATTACGTAAGACATGCCAATAAATCCAATATGGCTGCCGTTGCCATGGAAACGAAACTTTTTCCTCAAATTTGGTAGCGGATTTTAAAACCCCATACTTTGCTTGTTATATGTGTGAAATCTGGTAAAATTTGCTCCTCTAATAAGCGAGATAGCTTTCATGTAAAGTCCCCCCCTCCCCCCTCATTAAGGCGTTGTCTCATCAGCACATCGACTTGCCAGGTAATGCTGGCCAAAAATTAGCTGACAGTTTTATGACACCTTGAACGTTATCTTGCACATCCATAAGTCTTTTTTTTATTTTTTGAAAACAAATAATGATCGAAAAGTCCTCCCTGACCCGAACCCTGCCTTGGGGAGCTTGTTACTTTTACGTAAAAGGAAAAAAAAAGAAAACAACGACACAAATGAAACCACTATAATGTTGTAAGAAGCCCCTTTGTATCTTAACTGAATAACGTGCTATTGTTGAAACCTCTAAAAATTAATTTCGGCGATTTCGCTAACTATACTGTTGAAAAGAAACAGTCTAAGCAGGAAAAACGAAAGACAAAAGAAAAGTCGAGACAACTATTGCCCCATTAGATTAAGAAAGACATTTTAAAAGTTCAGAATTTTCAACAATCTGCAAAACTACAGATTCAGAACTTCCTTTCATCGGAGAAAACTATTTTTGCTCAATTTTTTAAAGGGTTATCTTACTTTGTAACAGAACAATTTAATGATAAACAAGTACGAGTTAACTGAAATATTATGAGTGGCGCTCATCGAAATTACGAAATCGCATTTTGTGCTCCACATAACGAATTTATCTTTTTTTCGATTTTTTTTTGTGGGGGTTTTGTGGGGGGTTTTCAAAGGTTGAACGCCGTATATTTCAGTCTAAAGAATATTCATGAGCGGATTTTACCTGGGAAAAAAAACTTAATCAGAGCCATGAAAGAGTAAATTTGCTGTTTCCAAGGACTCTCAAACTTTGGGAGGTTTCCAAATTTTGGCAGTCATTTTCCCGCTAATTTTTCCCTCTGACATCCAGCAATGCCCATTTCCTTCAACCGCAACATATCTCTACTACTTTTCCAGATAAATTGGTATTTTTGTAATCAAAAGCAAGAAAAATGAGCGTGCTTAAAGTGACACCAATAAATCGGTGCGTCTAAAAACTGACGAGCGCCAGATTCCATGGCGTCGCAACACAACTACAAGTGTATGGCTTACACGAAATGTAAGGAACAAAGCATAAAAATTATGATGATATCGTATTTTCATAAAGATGCCATCGCAGGAAAGGGGGGGTAAAAATAGTCATAAAAGGAGAATACACAATTGCCAAAGATGTATATCCCAACGATTTTGTATTTTGATATTTTAAAACTTAAATGGGCACAATGTTTTTCTTTGTTGGCAAAGAATAAATCATATGACACAAATCTACACCTATGTCGTCCATTTCCTATTGCAGTTGTGCAGTTTAAACAGCAGAAATAACCTGTAGGCCTACGCATACCTTTAGGGTTACCTATTAATCACCAAATTGCAATATAAGCTCACAGCGAAACAACCGACAAAAGAGCCTGAGACTTGCAATGAAATAAGGAATGGCAATTCGACCATTGAGATGAAATAGGAAAAAACGCTTGAAAAACCTACTAATTTTAAGGCATGATATGAATTCATAATATCATTCCTTACAATCAGAAATCCTGTGGACAAAAACGGAAAAACAATTAAACCCAACCAGAGGAAGAGCTGATAACGATGATTACTCTCTGTAACTCAGGCTTCTTTATCTTTCGAATCCTTCACCTCTTATTCAAAAGTGGAGGACATTAAAAGCATCAAATTGACTTACATGAAGATGTAGAAGATAGAGACCCAGGTATCCGACCCAGGCTGGAATTGCTGGGGTGCCCACGGTTCTGGTTCGAACCTGTAAGTGAGGTGAGAGGGTGTTGAACTTCTGCTTTATCATGCGGCGCGAGTTTGGCTGGGTTCACTCAAGCCTCTCCCCTGCTTCAGTTGCTCTATCTATTGATTACCCCCCTTCGCGTCTCACTCACTGAGCGAAAACCCCGCTCCCTCTTTGCATGACGTCGTAAAGTGACGGATGCCGAGAATAAGATCTCCTTCTCTCTCCCCCCCCCTCTCTCTCTCTCTCTCTCTCTCTCTCTCTCTCTCTCTCTCTCTCTGAGTTTCTGAGATGAGAACAAGTTACTGCACTAAAAATTTCCAGCTGTGCTAGATGTTAAAAAAAACCCGCTATGAAATGATCGTTGCATCACTTTGAAAGTTGAAAATATATAAAATAAAAAGAGAAAAAGTAAGAATCTTTTTTTTGCCCCCAAAAAAACAAAATACGGAAATAGGTTAGCACACATTATGTGTACATAACATTATAATTTGACAACATATTGCAATAACCTTTTTTGGAAAATTGATAGTTTACTTTTAAAGAAAGAAAGAACGATCTAGAAGCTCCAGTGCAATGACCTGTAGGCTATTTATAGAACATTTCACATCTGTACGACCCGTGTCTTATGTGTTTATTGGATATGGCGTCGAAATTAGGATTGAAATGTCACAAGTTTGACTACCAGCCACACCAGGTAGATCTATGGTGTATTGTGCCCCAGAGGTTTGCCCTTGTTTTCCCCTTATTCTCCCAAGTTTCTTATTCCTCGCGTGGACGAAATTAAATTTTTATCCCGAATCTTTAAAAGTAACTCTCATTAAAGTATTGTACGTCTTCTTTGAAAATAGAAAAACAAAAATTTGACCTTTTAGGGGGTGTAGCGGGAACAATTGGAGCATAATTGTTAGAGAACATTCTAATTGTGATCTGCGTGGTAAGTAGGTAAGTGCTTTTTTTGTTTTGTCTTGTTTTTTGTTTTGGTAAGTGTTTTACGGATCTCGCAACTGCATAAGGTCTTATGAGCGCGCGGGACACAATAAACATTTTCAGTTGGTAGCAAATGTTGAATTTTGCCGGGTGGCGACCGAAGCCTACTCTTATCGATTTTACACTACTAAGGGATCTTCAACTTGCGCAACTTGCACACGGGACCTCCAAGATTTTTCGCCCTTTTCCGAGAAGGATATGTGTAGATATTTCCTTTCAGAAGATCAGGGGTGTGGCTGAAAGACAGCAGTAAGAAGGAGCCAAGGAGTAGCAGTAGAAAGGCTTCAGAAAGAATCAGGAGCCCAGAGGAAGGAGCAAAGGATGTGAGGGGGTGGGGGCAGAAAGTGGAGGCGAAAGCAGACGACAGAATACTGCTACTGAGCGGGAAAGGAGGTGAAAGGAGACCATGTAAGAGAAGAAAATTCGAACCCGGGACCTTTGAATGAGAGGCGAACACCTTAACCTCTGGGCCACGAGAGCCTCTGTAAGTAAGTTTGAACCAAAATGGGACAATGGTTTTTTTTATATCCGACCTCAGCAAAACGTTCCCCACTTTTCTGAAGAAGCTAAAAGGGATATAAACGTTGAACATAATATTTTATGATTTCATAAAACTTCAATTCAGGAATACAAAAGTCTCCATTAATATTTTTTTCTCTTATCACACCTGCGACTTAAGCAATGTGGTAACCAAAGCAATGTATCGAACTTATTACCAGAATGTTTCTTGATCTCAGCTTGAAAAAAGGAAAGCTGTTTTGGATATTTTATACCTAGAGTTTCAGTCAGAACATAACGGACTGTTTATGTCTTGCTATCGCATTTTGCGACCTCAGAATTTAAAAGTTCTATTTGACTTTTTTTTTTGGTGTTTTGACCATAAGGATGAGGTCAGAAAACAAATTAAAATGTTCTAGATGCTCAATCGAAAATCGTAAGATTGTTCGGAGTCGTTATCAAAATATCCAAAGAACTGCATCCGAAAAAGCTTGGCCTGTGAAACTTTTTTTTTTTTACGTCACATTTGTCAAAACTAGGCACTGAGCTGACGGAACCTTGTAATTCTAGGCTGTCGCACATGTGAAGCGCTAATCAGAGCCGGTGAGTTTTAATCGGAGTTGAACGCTGTACAGAGGTCATTGTGCTATTATTACTACTGTTAGTATTGTTATTATTTGTTATTATCTTCTGCTTCTCCTTCTTCTTCTTCTTCTTCTTCTTCTTCTTCTTCTTCTTCTTCTTCTTCTTCTTCTTCTTCTTCTTTTTCTTCTTCTTCTTCTTCCTTATTTGATGATTATGATAATGATGATAATGGTGACATTGATGATGATGATGATGATTATTATTATTATCATTATTATTGTTGATATTATCATTATCATCGTCATCATGATTTTCATTATTTATATTGTGTCCTTTGATTGACAAGGATGGGCAGAAAGAATCTAAACTAACCGTCCTCTTTCAAATCAACAAAATGTTTAACTGGGAAAATCCGGGTTTTTCTAAAATATTTTCCGCTTAGATTACCCATCTGCTACCATTTTTAAGCCGTTTTAGGGGGGAAAAGATAATCTGTTAATCTGTCCTGAAATCATTGCGGACGTAACTTTTAAATTTTGAAGAAAAAGAATTACGGCAGACAGACGCTTTATGTCTTGACGAGTTGACAGTTTACCAATACAGACAGGGTAGAACGTAAATAAATATTGCTTGTGTTGAATAGCAAAATGGGTCTGAGGTTCTTTAGCTCTTACAACAACCGGGGATTTGTTACGTTTTAGCTTTTTAAAAGAATGTGTATAATTTAGTACAGTTATTCGCAGTGTCATCTCCTCTTTTATATACCCTCACAAACGCAGTGGAGAATATTTTATGTGTGTGAGTGCGTTCACACTCACAGACAAATAGTCAGACAGAAAGTCTCACAGACATGGGAACAGACAGACAGACAGACAGACTTACAGACTTACAGACTTACAGACAGATAGACAGATACACACACACACACACACACACACA